TAGGACCACTGGTGATCCTGGAGTCCCGCAAACAAATGGGCGCGCTGAAGCATGTGTGGGTTTATTCAAACGTGGTGTCAGGTCGCTCTTAAAGGAGGCGCGACTCGGACCGGCGTACTGGGCACTGGCTGCTCGCCATTGGTCAATGTTACGGTGGCAGAAAGCTGAAAGGGAGTTGGGGTTAAATCCTAAGGCATTGCTTCCCTTTGGTGCTCAGATTCAAGTTAAACGTCGTCCGTGGGAGTTGCTGGGTCCGGATGGAACAAAGAAAGGTCGGCAATGGGTCGATCGTACGCAGCCTGCACTTCTTTTGGGTCCATGCGATGACCTACCTGGTGGTTATTGGGTGGAAGCTCAAGGGACTGCAAAAGATCCGGATGAACTGGTGTTATTTCCCTGCACTACGATTTTTTCCAATATAAAGGAACCGCCTGACTTGGAGCTGGAAGGGGTGGTAGAAGAACAGGAGCCTTCTCCTCCAGAGCATCGTCTCAAGGGGAAAAAACCGGCGCTTCGGTTCGCTGATGAGGAAGGTCCTCCTTTACCTCCGCCTCGCGATCCTCCAGTTCGTCATCGGTTAAATGAAAAAAGCCCGGCCTCTTCACTGCGTGGTCATGTGGGCTCCTTGCGCTTGCTTCGCAAGCGGGGGGAGAGTCCGCCCTTAGAAATTTTCGAGGATGACATGCAGGGTCTGGGGGAGCTGGAAGAAAATGCAGATGTCGAGGACAATGTTCCTGGTGATGAGTATTGGCCGACTTGCTGTTCTCCTCATGAAAATGCTTATTTGGTCTGCAAAAGTGAGACTGCTGAGGATGGAACACAGTTGGAAAAAGAAGAGCAAAAAGCCAAGTCAATGTATGAAAGGTCTATGTATGATTACGTGGACTGTGAGGAGCTTTTGGAAGGGATTGTATACCCAAAGAGGGTGAATCGAAGAGGTGGTATCAACAATTGGTGTACAAGTACGCGAGCTCTGGTGTTGGGCCACTATACTCATGGCGGAGTGTGTGGTATCACAAAAGAGACTCATCGAAGACCATGGCTATGTCGTTATTTGGCATCATTCGTGAGGCACCACAATCCTGAAGCCAAATTTTCTGCTCTTCAGATCTCGTGCAATGCTCCGGTGTCATTGCATAGGGATAGTCACAATGAAAAACATTGCTGCAATTATGTGTGTGGCTTTGGTGACTATAAAGATGGTCAGCTGTGGGTTGAGGACGAAAAGGTTTTAGAGGAAGGAGCTGAAGTGGTGGAGCAATCTTATGGGAAGAAAGTCCTACCTGGAAAATTGGTCGATATCCACTGGAACTTCATGTCGTTCTTTCCGAGAAAACTGCATGGTCCTATGCCTTGGAAAGGGAACAGGGTATCCTTGACAGGGTACACACCTGTTTTTATGGAGCGTTTGAGCTACAAGGATAGGTGCTATCTTCTCCAATGCAAGTTTCCTCTTCCGGAACCACAAGCTGAAGAAGGTGAAAAAAGGAAATGGTTAAAAATGACGTTGAAAGAGACCTCGCTGGACGACCTTGCAGAGGAAGTCGACTACGCTGTGTTCGAAGCGCATCAATGGGCTCTAGAGGAGCATTTGAGTATTCGACGCCTAATTGCTGAACAGGAATGTTGCATTTTGGACGAGTTCCATGGATCGGCCAATGAGTCGAATGGAGAAAAAGGATCAGAGACTAGAGAATGGCTGGTTAAAGCAAAAAGGGCTGAGGAACAGCTCTCGAAGTTTTTGGTCAAAGCAGCTCAAGTTCAGCAAATGGTACAAGAAAATACCGCGCTTGAGGCAGCAGAGGAGGTTGAGTTCCTGCAAACAAAAACAATCCCTACACAAGAAGCCATGCAAGAGCTGGAAAAGTGGAGGGAATCATTGTCGGACGAGGTGACGTCTTTGGTGAAAGAGTTGGAGGTGGTGGAACCAACAACTCAAGAAAAGCTGGACAAATTGGCGGAAGAGCCTAATGCACCGGTGATTGAGTACGTTCCCAGTCTGGTGGTGTTTACCCGGAAGCAAGGGACAGGGAGGCGACGTGCCCGTATCTGTGCATGTGGAAACTTCATTTCGTCAACGGCAGCTACAGAATATGAAGGGCCGAGGTCACTCAGTCGTCACTCGCTGTACGCTCCAGGTTTAGATTCAACTACATTCAGGTGTCAAGTGAGGCACGCAGCATATATGGTGTGGATCATCGCTGGCTTAGACATTTCCAAAGCTTTTCTGACGGCGCCGATGAATAGGGCGCGAAGAGAAGGGCGTTTGGTGGTGGTGCAGCCCCCAAGGGCGGCGGTGAAATTGGGTCTTTGCACAAAAGAGGAGCGGTGGATTGTGAGGAAGGCCTTGTACGGTTTGGCCGAAAGTCCTGCAGCATGGGTGGAGTGGCGAGACCAACGTCTTCAAGGGATGTCTTGGGTGTCAAAGGATGGACAAGCAATGAGCTTTCAGAGGTCCAATGCAGACCCAAGTCTGTTCCTTATTATGGCGCAAGAGAAGCTGGAAGGTACAAGCAAGTTGGTAGGGACAATGGGTCTTTACGTGGATGATTTTTTGATGGCTGGGACTATGACAGTGCTCCGGGAGGCCTTGGAACAGATTAGGAAGGAGTGGAAAACTTCTGAACCCGAGTTCTGTGGTCCAGGCTGCGGTGATGGATTCCTGAAGTTTTTGGGTGTCCAAATCTGGTATCGAAATGGCAGCTTCTTTCTCAACCAGGAGGACTTTGTGAGAGATTTGCTGAACCGACGAGGGTATCAGATCGATGAAACTGGAAAAGGGAGTAACCTGCCAATGGTGAAAGAAACTCCAGGTGAAGAAGAGGAGGTGGATATTCCTTCCTTGCGAGCGGCTCAAGGTGCCGTAGGGGAGTTCCTCTGGGTGGCAATCAAAACTCGACCTGATTTGGCGTTCTGCACGAGCCAGTTGTCTTTGTGGACATCCCGAAGGCCGCGATTTGTGGTTAAAAAGGCTGAGGAGGTTTTCCGATACCTTGCTGCAACTCCAACGTTAGGCTTGACGTTCGGAGCAATCGCAACATGCGAAAAAGAAAGAAATGAGGTGTTGCGTTATGGACGAGGCGTTAAGGTGGTGGAGTCCTACGCGGATGCCAGCTTTGCAGCAGGTGAAAACGAAAAGAGCCACTCAGGAGCGGTGGTGGTGTGGGGTGACTGTCCAGTGATGTGGGCAACACAAAGACAATCAACGGTGGCTTTAAGTACAGCTGAAGCTGAATTACATGCGTCCATAGAGGGAGCAACGATGATTCAGTCGTGCACCCCTATAATTGCCGCTTTGGTTGGAACAGGTGAAGAATCGCTGCAAAAAGTGCTGTATACAGATTCGGTCTCAACGTGCTCGATCATTCAATATCCTGCTGGAAGCTGGAGGACAAGACACCTGAGAATTCGAGCAGCCGGTGTCAGGTCTCTGGTGGACCGTGGTTATATGGTGATAGCGCATCTTCGCGGTGAGTATATGATCGCTGACCTGTTGACCAAATTGATGAGTGGACAGGTGTATGCAAAGCAAAAGGCACTTTGGGGTCTCCGACTGTTGGTACAAGGGACTGACTTGAAAAAAGCCTCGCTTGCAATGGCGGTCATGATGGTGGCTGCATCTCTGCAAGGGATGGCAATTGGTGGCGAAGAAGTGTCCACGGCTGGATTCTTTTGCTCAGAAGAAGGGGTGTGCAAGGTCGCCAACACGTCTACGGTGATGGTTCTGGCTCAAGGTATTGAAATGGTTGTCAACAATTCAGACCTTGTTGCATATTTGGTGGCAGCAATTATACTCTGGGAACTGGCATGGTGCCTCTTTCGACGGCTGTATAAATGGCTGTGGATAAAGAAAGCGGTGGTTATTCCTGCGAGTGCCACTTTGTATACAACAGTGGGTGGGAACTGTATGCACGCAAGCAGTGACTGTGATGTTCTGCGATATTCACAACTCAGGGCTAAAACGCTTTGTAAGCATTGCCTCAAGGATGGCTGGGTGGTGAATGCTGAGTTCCTTGGTGAGGAACGGGCCGCTGGAACGTGAATTTTCCAAGTGCGAGGTGAAGAAATCCTCAATGGTAAAGGATTCAGCCAATGAGCTGAAGGTTCGTCCTGGAAGACGTTAAACCACAATGTGCATTTCAAGCAGCTGGCTGCTGCCTAAATGGCGGTTTTTGGCCAAAGATCTGCACCTCCAATGTGTCCTAGGAAATCCTAGGACAGGGGGAGTGCGGAGCTGCAATTGGTATTGTAGAAAGGAGTTGGTATTGGAAGTTGAAGGGTCAATGAACCCGGTAATCTTTGGCTCAAGCCATGACCAAAGCGGTCGAAGGTTTCGAAAAAAGTGTACCCTTGGTTTGGGGTCTTGCTGTTCGGTTGTTGGTTGTTCCAGGGGTAATAAGGGCTTCTGTTGGGGTTGACTGTCTTGTTCCCTGTCCTCCTTCGGTTGCCCCCCGTATAGGGGTTAGGGTTTAGGATTGTCCCAGTTGCAAAAAGGGTGCAATCCTTGCATATGCCACATATTTCAGATCAGGCACATCTCCTTCTCTAAAGGGTGCAATAAGTAAAGCTCTGAACCCGAAGAAACCCCTCTCAAGCCGGTGAACGTGAGGTACATAATGGTACAGGGCAACCCCCACAAGGCCCAATACTAATCTATAGAATCGACTTGGGTTGCATGGGCCCTGAGGGCAAGTTTCAGCCGGGTTTGAATTCCGACTGCCGGGCCAACCCTAGAACCTAAACCCTAAACCCTAAACCCTAAACCCTAAACCCCGGTTGATGGCTGGGATGCCGAACCCTGTGAGGACCATCTGGTCCCGTGGCTGTCACACCCCGGAAGCCATATCCAACCCACTCCCAAGAAAACGGCGTAGCCTTCTTATGCTTCTGAAAATCCGAACCCTGAAGACTTGCGTCAAAGAAACTCGCGACCCCAAAGCCCAAACCCCTCAACCCTAAGCCCCCAACCCTGGAACAAACAGAAACTTTTTCATGGCCAGGCCTCCTGCAGTGCTTGCGCCGCGTCACGCCGCGGCCGCGAACAGCCCTGGGGAGACCAGGCAGAGGCCGCCGGAGATTGGGGTTTAGGGTTTAGGGTTTAGGGTTTAGGGTTTAGGGTTTAGGGTTTAGGGTTTAGGGTTTAGGGTTTAGGGTTTAGGGTTTAGGGTTTAGGGTTTAGAGCCCCACTTTCAGCCTACACGGCTCTCTGATGGCTTCAATACATGGACAGGAAGTAGCTGTGTATATTGTGTATCTAATATATATATATACATATACATACATGTAAGTTGTGTATCTATCTATATACATATACATATACATATACATATACATATACATATACATATACATATACATATACATATACATATACATATACATATACATATACATATACATATACATATAAATATACATATACATATACATATACATAACATATACATATACATATACATATACATATACATATACATATACATATACATATACATACATACGTAAATACATACGTACATACATACATACAAGTATATTTATACGTGTACACATATATATATATATATATATAGATGTATATGCGTGTGTGCATATATATATATACGTTTATATATATATTGTATATATATATATATATATATATAACTTCTGTCTGTCTTGGTGTGTTACGTTCACGCTTATATTAATTTCTTGCGGTCATTCACTCTGTTCATTCGCTTATAAATTAATAGAATGCTCTCTCTTCACAGTATTAATATTATTAATTGTGTGTGAAGAGAGCGGAGTGAGTGAATAAGCGAATGAATAAAGTACGAAGAGAATATTTTAATGGCGTTTTGTAATGAATGAAAAGGAAGCACGAAAGCGCCCATTAAAATATGAACGCAGTGAGACAGGATTTTGGAAGAGAAATATTTGTAACCGCTAGAAAGAACTGGGTGATGTACATATGTATATATATATATATATATCCACACGAATGAGCACGCGCCATTGGCATCGTCTTGTTCGCATGTTTCAAACACGCACTGCAGGTACAAGTAATGCCTCAAAGGTACTTTGAGAAGTTTGCGCACCCCGGGAGGTGCTTGGCAAGCCCAACCCGGCTTATGCTCGACTCATTGCGGAGTGGCACGGCCTGGACCTACAAAGGGCCGTCATGGCGATTTGCCAGCAAAAGGCTAAGGCGAGAAACCTTGAAGCTTGAAGCATATAGTCTGAACTAAGACCTGGCGTAGGCCCTTGCTCTTTTTTTTTTTTTTTTAATTTCGGGGCCCTTTAGAGCAAAACGGGTACCCTTTTATTCCCAGGTTAGTCTTTTGTCCAGTTACCTAGACCCCGGATTTCGGTTTGCCACATCTTCTCCGATAGCCATAGAGAGAAGAAGTGCAACTAGCAGTCCAGTCAAAGCTTATAAGCTCAAAAGACTCCTATTAAAGACGCCTGGTAGGGGGTTGGGCACCAGGGCGCCTTTGCCAACGTTGTAGGGTCTGTGATCCCAGCCACAGGACGAATTTTCCGAACTCCTAGCTGGGCTTAGGGCCAACGTCGTGTATGCCGGGTTCGCCAGTCTCCAGGCTGGCTCGTTACAGGTTTAGGGTTCCGGGTATGAGGGGCGGGCGCTCTGAGTCTTTAGGGTTGAGGTTTGAGGGTTTAGGGTTGCGGGTTTAGGGTTTAGGGTTTAGGGTTTAGGGTTTAGGGTTTGATGTCAAGCCAAGGTGGGCGATCGCCTTGACACAGACATTGAGATGGGAAGGTGGCTTCCGCAAGCGTTGTGGACTTCAGTCACGCTGGCCGAGTGCTACTTGGGGTTACCGAAAATAGGGGTACCCTTTTTGGGGGGTCCCTTTATCAGGGAGTTCTATCCTATTTGTGGTAAAACGGCGTACCCCTATTTTGGGAAATGCCCATTTGAGGTAGTTTGTTTGTTTGTTTGTTTGTTTATTTGGGTGAGTGAATCAAGGGTTCTTTATGTGTTTTGGTTCCTGCCATGCGTGTTTGTGTGAGTTGTCTTTTTGGACATGCTAGCAAACAACAACTGTACTACAGTTACATGCGCCGGGTCCTCGATATGTAACATAGCACACGGGCTTTGGTACATCTTCATCACAAGAAAGGATGGGCACATGAAGCACGACAAATAGGATGTTCTGCGCAAGTTGTCGTAACTGGTAACCTTAACATCGATGTCTCTTAGACCGCAAACGGCGTCCGAGACCTTGAGCCCTCGCGCATCTGCAGGCAGGCTGGGATGCGCTCACTACACGTGCTGACAGGCCGCTTGATGAGCACAAGTTTTCCCACAGGGTCCATGTAACTATATAGAAAATGCCTGGGTCTTAAACCCTAAAACCCTAAACCCTAAACCCTAAAGCCTTGGGGTTCGACTGGGTGCTTGTTCCTTGTCACACGGAACCCTACACCCAGCTCACTGGGATCGGGGGGAATTCGAAGGTAGGTAACAAAGGTAGAGCTAGTTACCCGAAAAGGGACCGTAGTGGGGTTATCCTACTTGAGAGCCCTATCTAGAAGCTACTGACTATTTCCCCCGATCCTCCATGCATTCAAACATTGCTGGTTCGGGTCCCCACGTCGGAGCGCCGGGGCTTCGCAGTATTTTAAGCCGTCGAGCTTAACCGTCTCGTCCATGAGAGTCAGCAGGCTATTCTGGGTTTAGGGTTTAGGGTTGAGGGTTTAGGGTTTAGGGTTTAGGGTGACATGTTCCCTGACACAAGGGCACATCACAAGTCTCTATTGTGCAAGCCAGATTGGTTGAATTGCCCTAAACCCTCAACCCTCAACCCTAAACCCTAAACCCTCAACCCTAAACCCTAAACCCTCAACCCTAAACCCTAAACCCTGGGCTCCTCAATTAACATTATCCAGTATTTAACGCGTTCTCGAGTCCCCTACCTAAAGGCTCTTTTGTAGTACCTTTTTTCGGGTTGTGTACAAAAGACGAACTACATTAGAGCCTTCAGGCAGTTTGGAACGGTCCGCAAAAAAAAAGCGGTTCTTGAGAATGTTTCCCATCCCCACTGCTAGGGGCCTTCAAAAACGTTGCATCATGTACGTCTAGACATGGATGTATTATACTTATTCACTACATAGGTAATTATCTCTAAACCCTAAACCCTAAACCCTGAACCCTGAACCCTAAACCCCCGTTTTGTGCATGTCTACTTACATTCTTAATTCGTGTTGCTTGCGGTGGCCAAGGGGTCGATGACCTGTCGCAGATTGAAGCGAAGGCGCAGCGGGCGATCTGCTTTTGAGAAGTTCGACGTCCTACATTAGGGTTTAGGGTTTTGGGTTTAGGGTTTAGGGTTTAGGGTTTTAGCAGATTTTCAGCGCCCAAACCATGCACCCCTAAACCCTAAGCCCGAAAAACCTCCCCCGGTGCCATTACATCAATCGTCTGAAAGCCTTGGCAGCCAGCAGGCAAGCAACCCACACTGAATTTCAACCCTCTACCTCCGAAGCCTTAGCCACCAGTAGCCCTAAACCCTAAACCCTAATCCCTGAACCCTAACCCTAAACCCTAAACCCTAAACCCTAAACCCTAAACCCTAAACCCTAAACCCTAAGCGTTAGCCCGAAACCCTAAAAGGAGAAAAGTTGGGTGGATGCCTGCGTAAGCAGGGGGTGGGAAAAATAAAACAACCCAACCTTTCTGGTTGTGGTGGCTCCAACTTCAATACACGCCGCCGCGACATATGCCGCCCCCTCACACCCCCTGGGTGTGTTGGGGCGCCATCTCCGCATGAAATCTACTCCCGCGGCGCGGCGAGAAACGAGAAACCCTAAACCCTAAACCCTAAACCCTAAACCCTAAACCCTAAACCCTAAACCCTAAACCCTAAACCCTAAACCCTAAACCCTAAACCCTAAACCCTAAACCCTAAACCCTAAACCCTAAACCCTAAACCCGAACCATTCGTAGCGTTGCGAAAAGGGCATCGTCCCCGACTTTGTGCTGCCCGGCGTGGGCTGCCTTTGGACCAAGCGATCGCAGAGCAGCCTGTGAGAGAGGAGGAGGCGGAGTTCAGGGTTTTTGGTTTAGGGATTTGGGCCCCCCTGCATGGAGGTTCATGGTACTTGCTAACCCAGTTACAACAGTACATAGAACCCAATTATAGCCATGTTAGGGCACTTAAGGGGCTTAGAAGTGGGGTATTATAGCTGGTTTAGAAGTACCATGACCCTCCAAGTACCCCCAAATATCATTTCCTCCCCGTATGCTATAAGATACCGAGTATGTACTGTCAGGGAGTAGGGGGGGAATATTCGGGCGCCTTTAACCGTTTGGGGTATATACAATCCTACCATATTTGAAAGGTTAACCTTTTTGGGCCAGGGTGCTCGGCAGCACCTGGGTCTTCCTACGCCTTCGTAAGACAGATGTTGCTGCGAGCAGAAACACCTTACGCGTATTACGCGTATGGCAAGGCCTTCTGAGCGGTCAATCAGCATCTAGCAGCTAGCAAGCTGCTTCAACAGAGTCGATAATTCAAACTCATTACCCCAAGAGCCCAATGCCACTACCCTTAATTAAGGAGTAGGACTCGTAGGACCCCTTAAGGTCTATTCTTTAATGAAGGGACAGGCCTATTCTATATATAAATATGAATACTAATATCCATATAAATATAAAAATACATATAAATATAAATCAATAAACAAATATATATATATATATGCTACCCCCCCCCCATGGACCTACCAATTTCCTTTGTTATTATCCATGAATTTCGCGGTCTAAGCCACATGGTTTGAAAACCATGGGTTTTATGGATAACATTTGTTTTGCCGATGTTTTCGGGCTCCATCCTTCAAAAACATTGGTAAAACCAATTATCCGTGAATTGGGTGCTCCCAGCCACATGGTTTGAAAACCATGGATTTTATGGATAACATTGGTTTTGCCGATGTTTTCGGGCTCCATCCTTCAAAAACATGGGTAAAACCAATGTTTTCCATGATTTTCGTGATCTGAGGCTCTCTCCCAGCCACCGTAGTACCAAGCAACAAACTCGAATCCTGCAAAATCTCGAGGGAGTACCAAAACCTCCTTATAATCAATCACGCCCCAATACGCAAGACATGACATCTGTCCTAAAAACACTACCTTAGCTACGATATGTCAAACAGTCATCCCCCGATAAGCAAGACCTAATATACTAAACCTGTACCTTAGCAACATATCTTAAGACATCACGCCCTAAGGCTCCTACCAATTTAATAAGGTTCCTATCAATTTCAACAGGATTCTTATGCATGTTACTGGGATTCGCATAGGATTCTCATTAATTTTAAAGGATTCCTATTGGATTAGGCTCATACTAGTTTAGTAGGATTCCTATCAGTTCTTGTGAAAGGATTCTATTGTTTTTAAGGCCTATTGGTTCCTATTGATTTAGAAAGATTCCTTCTCGTTTTAATAGGATTCCTGTGACTTGTAACCCGGGTTGTTTCCAACTTGTTAAGGTTCCTATTCATTTTAATAGGCTTCCTATTAACTGTTGTCCGGTCCCGATAATTCAATAGAGGATTCCTATTTACTTTCATAGGATCCCAATAAAGTTTCATAGGGTTCCTAATTATTAATAAGGCCCCTATTTTCTGTAATGAGAGTCCTATCAATTTTAATCAGACTCTTATGTTAATGGGGTTCGTGTTAATATTAAAGGGATCTCATTCACTTTCAAGGGATTCCTGTTGGTCTAGGCTCATGTTCATTTTAATCGGTTTGTCTAAAGGTTCACGTTATTTCTTATAGGAGTCCGATTGGTTCCTATTAATTTGAGTAGGGTTCCTCTTCAGTTTAATAGGATTCCTACTAATCCTATTAATTCTACGAAAATGTTGGGAGAGTACCAAAACCTCCTTACAATCAATCACGCCCCAATACGCCAAGACATGACATCTGTCCTAAAAACACTACCTTAGCTACGATATCTCAAACAGTCATCCCCCGATAAGCAAGTCCTAACATCTATACTAACACTGTACCTTAGCAACATATCTTAAGACATCACGCCCTAAGGCTCCTACCAATTTAATAAGGTAGGATTCTTATGCATGTTACTGGGATTCGCGTAGGATTCTCATTGATTTGAAGGGATTCCTATTGGATTAGGCTCATACTAGTTTAGTAGGATGTTAGAGGATAAAAACCATGATTTTTCAAACTACTCGGAGACCCAAGCCCATAGTTTGGAAAATCATGGTTTTTATGGTTTTTATTGGTTTTTGCGATGTTTCGTGAGCATGGGCTCAAAAAACATCGGTAAAACCAATGTTTTTTTGAAGGTAGGGGTTCAAAAACATCGGTAACACCAATGTTTTGGAGAGGCCACCTTCAAAAAACATCGGTAAAACCAATGTTTTTGGAGCCCCTGCTCAGGAAACATCGCAAAAACCAATAAAAACCATAAAAACCATGATTTTTCAAACTACTCGGAGACCCAAGCCCATAGTTTGGAAAATCATGGTTTTTATGGTTTTTATTGGTTTTTGCGATGTTTCGTGAGCATGGGCTCAAAAAACATCGGTAAAACCAATGTTTTTTGAAGGTAGGGGTTCAAAAACATTGGTAAAACCAATGTTTTGGAGAGGCCACCTTCAAAAAACATCGGTAAAACCAATGTTTTTGGAGCCCCTGCTCAGGAAACATCGCAAAAACCAATAAAAACCATAAAAACCATGATTTTTCAAACTACTCGGAGACCCAAGCCCATAGTTTGGAAAATCATGGTTTTTATGGTTTTTATTGGTTTTTGCGATGTTTCGTGAGCATGGGCTCAAAAAACATCGGTAAAACCAATGTTTTTTGAAGGTAGGGGTTCAAAAACATTGGTAAAACCAATGTTTTGGAGAGGCCACCTTCAAAAAACATCGGTAAAACCAATGTTTTTGGAGCCCCTGCTCAGGAAACATCGCAAAAACCAATAAAAACCATAAAAACCATGATTTTTCAAACTACTCGGAGACCCAAGCCCATAGTTTGGAAAATCATGGTTTTTATGGTTTTTATTGGTTTTTGCGATGTTTCGTGAGCATGGGCTCAAAAAACATCGGTAAAACCAATGTTTTTTGAAGGTAGGGGTTCAAAAACATCGGTAAAACCAATGTTTTGGAGAGGCCACCTTCAAAAAACATCGGTAAAACCAATGTTTTTGGAGCCCCTGCTCAGGAAACATCGCAAAAACCAATAAAAACCATAAAAACCATGATTTTTCAAACTACTCGGAGACCCAAGCCCATAGTTTGG